ACACACACACACACACACACACACACACACACACACACACACACACACACACACACACACACACACAATAAAAAATCAGGCAGTGTACTTGAAGTTTACTTTTTATAAACTATATATTTTTAAAATACTTTAGAACTGTACAGCAAAGTATACTTGGCCTTATAATGAAAAGTATAAAGTACATTAATACTAACACTTAAACACACACACACACACACACACACACACACACACACACACACACACACACAATAGAAAATCACTGTATGTGAATGAATGAGAAACAACATATATTTTGCTTTGCAGGACCTGGGTGGGATTAAAATTTATGTTCTAAAAAAATCCAACCTTATGACAATATAGATGTTATATTGTCATGTCAAAAAACATTTTAATGAAAGATATGTTTCATGTTATGAAACAAATGAAAACATATATAGATATTGCTACAACAATAAGCTTTTATCTTCTAATCTACTGGTCGGTTTCTGGGGAGGCAATGCATCTGTAAAACTGGGCTGAAGAAAAAAGTTTCTGTTCAGATAATGGATGAGAAAACTCAACGTGAGTTGCCAATAGTAGTCGTTAAAGTGGTTTTCTAGCTTTTTTGCCTAATAATTCTTAGATTCTGATGCAAATGTTTCCTAATGGTTATCTTTTAACCAGTTGTTCTGGAAATGGAAAACTCTCTTAGCAAAACATCAGTAACTGAAGCGTAAATCCAGCAGTTTAACATTTGTGCGCTTGTGTGTGTCTGAGTGTGACACTTTCGTTGCCATGGCTTTAGAAACTTTTCACTCCTTTCAGGATGTGTCCATGGGGAAAAGGCACAACATCAGCGTCAAACAAATAAATGATTGAAATTCAAATTCAAATCGGCCAAGATATAAAGATACAACATGATTTGGTGGAATTCGAAATTTGAAATCGGTAAACCGTCATCTGGACTAATTAAAGCAAAGTTAAGTTTTCACTGTTTTTTTCTTCTAAAAGCAAGGTTTTTTTTTCATTTGGGAAAACCTTTTGCTCCTTCCAACCATGCGTCTGTAATTCTGTCAYGAGTATCGGACAATAAAGGATTTATCAGGAAAGGCCAGGACATAAAGATGGGGCCAAATTTGGTGGGATTGAAGCCCGTTTTGAAACTGAAGCTTGAAATTCAAGAAGCTTTTCCAAACTCATGGTAGTCAGATGACACCTTAAAATGCTGTCTTCGTGTATCAAATGACTTTATTGTTGGTGTATCAACATGAGAAGAARTGTCTCCATTTATCTCCAGAGTTWTTCCTGTGAATCTGCTAAATCATGTGTAAAAGTTTTTGTTTTTGTTTGTGGTTTTATCAGCTATGTCATATCGTGTGTTCTCAGGTGGAGTTTCTGCTCGTGTGTGTGTGTGTGTGTGTGTGTGTGTGTGTGTGTGTGTGTGTTTTTTTAGTGGACGTGTCGTCAGAGCAGGTGCAGCTCCGAGCGGCAACGCTGCACGACGAGCCGCGGTGACAGCGGAGCTCGGCGTGGACGAAGCGCGTTCGGGGGTTTCTCGTGGGTCGACAATGGATGCCCTCGCTCTCTGTGCTGCCTCACTGTTTGAAGCAGCTGAGGCGAATCCCCACCACCCACCCCCAAACCTTCTTCTCCAAATTCTGGAAGCGCTCTGCTGTCGGTGCCTCTAAATCATCCCCGTCTTTCAGTGCGCCGGGGCGAGGAGTGTGGCTTGTTTTCTCCCCTCTTTGTTTGCTGTGGTAAACCGGAGAGCAGCTGCTGACGGTGGCGGCGGGGTCTGCGGGGACTCTGGAGGCGCACGGTCCTCCCTTCGCCATCCTCTGCCAAGGTGGCATTGTGCGAGCGGAGAGAGGGGTAAAGAGAGGCAGGACGTAGAGAGGCTGTGTGGTGGTGATGGGGGGGTTAGGGGAGACTCAGCGACAGCAGCGGCCATAGTAAAGATGGAGGCAGGAGAAGGACCCCCCCTCTAACTTTAGCTCTGTGTCAGGGTGGAACTTGTCGATCTGAATCCCCCCCCCACTCCTCCTCCTCTTTCTGTTTCTGCATGCTCTCCCTGTCACTACACCCCCTCCCCCCCCTCCCAGCCCTCTCCTCTCTCTCTGTTTCCCCTCCCTCTTCAGCTCTCGAAGAGAACGCATTGGCTGGACTGCGGGCATCTYGTTGCCAAATAGGTGGGCCTTCTCGTGGCGCTGGCAGAGGCTCAAGCGATGGTTAGGGAAAGAACACGGAGAGGACGAGAGACGGCCAGYGAGAAACAGAAAGAGAAAGAGAGAGAGAGAGTTGGAGAGAAAAGGGGGGAAAAAAGCGGCAGCCCTCGCCTTTGCCAGCGGTCGTATGCGCTCGTCCAACATTGATTCATTCGGCTCTTTAGTTTTTTTTTTCTTTCCTCTGTTCTGTGCTCTGCTCTGCTTGGCCCCCCATCTGTGTGTGTGTTTTAGTGTGTGTGT